CGTTCACCAAATTTCTACATAGTATATAGTGAAAAAATCAACAAAGGGCCATAATTCTGTAAAATTTGGTCGCTGCAAAAATTCTTTCCTTTACTACCATCTACACATTAAGGTTGTTCATCCCTGGAAGTTTAAGCAAAATCTGCCATCCGGTTTAAGAGGAGTTGCGTTCACCAAATTTCTACATAATATATAGTGAAAAAATCAACAAAGGGCCATAATTCTGTTAAATTTGGTCGCAGCAAAAATTCCTTCCTTCACTACCATCTACACATTAAGGTTGTTAATCCCTGGAAGTTTGAGCAAAATCTGCCATCCGGTTTAAGAGGAGTTGCGTTCACAAAATTTCTACATAGTATCTAGTGAAAAAAGCAACAAAGGGCCATAATTCTGTTAAATTTGGTCGCAGCAAAAATTGCTTCCTTTACTGCCATCTACACATTAAGGTTGTTCATCCCTGTAAGTTTAAGCAAAATCTGCCATCTGGTTTAAGAGTAGTTGCGTTCACAAGATTCCGGGACGTACGGACGGACTGACGGACAAGTGCAACGCTATATGCTCCCACATTGTGGGGGCATAAAAATCTTATCATGTCAATACAAATTAATTGATTAAACATACATGTCCGCCCTTAGGCATTTTATTTATATGATGCATAACAACCAAATGAGAGATCATACATGGCCTTTATAGACAGGTGGTCTTTATTTGAAGTTTACTTGGTTGACAAAGAGTGGTCTTAATTTAAAGAGTGGTTTGTATTTGGAGGTGGTCTCTAACAAAGGTTAATTCCTTTTTTTAAAGACTTTGACTTTATCAATTGTATTTTTTGTCAACAAAATTACAAAAACTTTAACATAAGTGGTTACGCCGACACAGACACTTGGGTGACTACAATAGCTCTACTTATTCTTATCCAATAGTCGAGCTAAAAATTGAGCTACCAACATAAGTTGTGAACAATATAGAACCTCAGGTCTGACAGTACCGGTTCTTATATAGTGGAAAAGCTATAGTCACTTATTGGTTCTGAGCCAGCTGAGGGTTAAAAATATTTATCTTTAACCCTTTTTCCTGTTTTTAAAGATGTGTTCATCCTTGCTTCATATTTTATAGGTATTTAATATCCTTTAACAGGAAAATTAACTCCGAATAAACAAACATTGACCAATGACTGACACCTCTGCACACAGTAATTAACATGTCATTCAATTTTACACCAATCAAATATCATAGATTTGTTCAAAACTAAATTAATAGGAAAGTTGACCATATAATTAAAGGTAGCACAAATTTCTTTCAACCACAACATAAACATAAGTGACCTTTGTTTCAACTTAATTTGATTATTTGTAAATTTATCAAATGGCAGGCAATAAAATTGTTTGCATCAAAATCAAATATTAACATCAAATAACAGTCAAATTTTATAACCATAGAAACCTTCATTTGAAGACACAAACTTTTTAATATTTTTGATTTTTTTTAAACAACTCGTAATTAAACTTTTATGAATTGCATCATTTTTTTTAAAATACAATGTATTTGCATCATTTTACAACAGACCTGCTGCAAAGATTACAAATTTGGTGATTTAGTTTTTCTTTTGTAGGGTTTTGTCCCAAAAACACAGACTTAAAAGTCAAATTGCCACTTTCCAGCTTTAATTACACTGGTCGAGAAAGACCTCAGTTTCCCCTCCGTGGAATTATTTCAGGCATGAATGGGCATCTAAGTAGTAAGAGAACCATAAACATTCTATAAGCTAGTTAGATAGCAAAATCCGAGGCATGAATGGGCATCTGAGTAGAACCACACACATTCCATAAGCTAGCTGGATACCATCCTCACAAGGAAGAATCCAAAGTCCCAAAGAAAGATTCAAACCCATGACGGTGAGGGGCAAGTGCTTTGAAGTCAAAGACCTTAACCACCAGGCTACAGACGAACCTCTGGTTATTTATTGACTAAATACAGTAAAACTACTAGTCTATTACACCAAACAACCTAAATTTCTTTTTAAAAATCCTGTCACCAACAATAAAAACAGTATATAAATTACCATGATGTTCTGCATATAAGCAAACACAGTTCTAGCATTTCTATATGTAAGACTACCTGTTTCAATTTCATCAGCATATTTTCCAATATTGGTTCCATAGTTAACTGTAAACAAGTCAGATACTAGTCACACAACTTTGTTTTATACATAACTCTCACAAACACAACTTTCTTAAAACGAGTGATAAATATAAACATAAAACTGCATTTGGTGTTAACACACATCTGTAAAAAATTTAAAGTTAAAAAGAGGCATAACTAAACTAGAAATGTGTCATCATGCCACGGATGCCCCCGCATGCAGCCAAAATTTCAGATGTTATAATATTTAGTTCCAAATTTGTTTGCACAAAATATTTTTTTCATTTTAAGTTCAGAGCCCTTAAAACTTTTTCAATGTTAACACAAACCATTTTCATACAATGTTCAAGGCCTTAACCTTTTAAAAATAGCATATTGCATATTTGTAGCCAAAATAATGGCTACATACATTTCCACAAAAGTATGAGTGCTGAAACTGACAGTTTAAAATTTTTCCAACATTCAGGAAAGATAAGTTTGTCCAATATCATTGAACCACGACCAAATTCAAACTTAAACTGCTTATTCCTAAGATGTATCTATATTATTTTCAAAGTGAAAAGGACATAACTCTGCCAAAAAATCATCAAACCATGACCAAATTCCAACTTGACCTGCCCATTCCTTTGACATATCCATAATTTATTATGTCAAATTTGAGTTGAATATGTAACACTGTTGGGTAGATAATGAACAGAATCTGTAAATTTCAAATTATTTTAAAAGTGAAAGGGGCATTACTCTGCCAAAAATCATTGAACCATGACCAAATTCCAACTTGGCCTGGGCGTTCCAAATACATATCCATATGTCAAATTTGAGTTGAATGTGTTGTAACGTTGGGGTGATAATAAACGGAAACTGAAAATTTCATATTATTTTCAAAGTGAAAGGGGCATAACTCTGCCAAAAATTATTGAACCATGACCAAATTTGAACTTGACCTGTGCATTCCTTTGACGTATCCATTTGTTTGTCAAGTTTGAGTTGAATGTGTTGTACTGTTGGGGAGATAATAAATGGAAACTGAAAATTTCATATTGTTTTCAAAGTAAAAGGGGCATAACTCTGCCAAAAATCCTCGAACCATGACCAAATTCGAACTTAACCTGTATTTTCTCATGACATATCCATATGTCAAGTTTGAATTGAATCTGTTGTATCGTTGAGGAGATAATGAACGGAAACTGAAAATTTCATATTATTTGCAATGTAAAAGGGGCATAACTCTGCCAAAAATCATCGACCCATAACCAAATTCGAACTTCACCTGTATTTTCTCATGACATATCCATATGTCAAATTTGAGTTGAATGTGTGCAACCGTTCTTAAGATAATGAACGGAAACTGATGATGACGGAATGACAGAATGACGGAAGGACGGAATGACTGAACAGGATAACACTATATGCCCCGGCCATTACATGGCGGGGGCATAAAAAATATTGCTTTCAGAATTATGCCCCTTTAAAATTTTCATTATATATCCCCAAAATTAATAATGGACAGCTCCTAAAATGGAAGCTGGACAAGTCCATTTAGAAAGACCAACAGGTTATGGGTTCAACATACTAATCCTACTCTTCCTTGACTCTGTGATAGTTTAACAATTTTGTCAAGATTAATTTGTTTACTTGCCCAATTCAACGCCAATTTTAACACATTTATGGTTGTTTTCAGTGATTTTTTTTTTTTTTGGGGGGGGGGGGGGTCAAATCGACACAGTATAGATCATATCGCGACATTCCAGCTTTACTGGTGGAGGAAGACCTCAGGTGCCCTTCCTTGCATCATTTCAGGCACGAACGGGCACCTGAGTAGAACTACCGACGTTCCGTAAGCTAGCTGGATCTAAGCTTCCTCATATGAAAGAATCCAAAGTCCCTGTCGGGATTCGAACCCACAGCGGTGAGGGGCAAGTGGTTTGAAGTCAACGATCTTAACCACTCTACCACGGACGCCCCTTTGTTTCAGTGATAGTGAACAACTTTGTCAAGGTTGTTTGTTTGTATGATTTTACTTCGATTTCAATACATTTTTGGTTGTGTCATGGTCGTTGGTCCACCTTAAGCTTTCCAAAATAAGTCTAACCAGTAAAAGCCAATTTCCCTGCAAAAGGTTAACTACTAATTCCGCATGATTTCTGAATCAGCAGCTAGAGACAAATGACCGTTACACTTAATGTCTGCTTTCAATTGCAACGGAGAAATTCAGCCTTACCGAGCTTAGAGGGTTAATAACTCATGTTTAGAATTAAGCATAATGAATTCATATTGTGAACTCAAAAATTAAATATTAAGCACAACATATATATCTATAAACCACATTTAGTAACTAAGGCCAGTCACATTTCACTTCTACACACATAAAACTACTGATACAATATTATCAAACTTAAGGAAACGAAAAATGTATAAACTTCTACATGTAATATCTGACATTTGTACAAACTAAACCATTAAGCAAAATAAATTTCTACTAAGATAAATCTAAAACTGTTCTGGAAAATACACTGGTTATCACAGGTAAAAGACAGTACATGTATTTTTCAGTATACCAGAATGTGCTTCTCATCAAATTTCAACAACAAAAGCTTAAATCAAAAGCTTAAATCAACAAAAGATTAAAAACCCAAACAATAACTAAAGCATTGGAGTAACTAATACAATAGTTAATACAACAAAAGTAGTCAAAAAAACGTAACCAAGGGAAGGAACTGCCCTAAAACAATTGTTTGCACTGTTATAATAGTTAATGCAACAAAAGTGGTCTAAAAAAAACAGTAAAACAAGGGAAGTAACTGTGATGCTAGTAACTGATAACTGCCTGCCCACAACAGTAAAGGGAAGTAACTCACACTCTTCCTATGAAGGATTGAAGATTCCTGTATATATGGCTGAAGAGATCCAACTGATCTAGACCGTAATCGATCCTCCGTGCATGGCTTAATATGAATAAATGAACAATGTTGGCTTAATATGAATAAATGAACAATGTTGGCTTAATATGAATAAATGAACAATGTTGGCTTAATATGAATAAATGAACAATGTTGGCTTAATATGAATAAATGAACAATGTTTTTTCTTGAGTGTGTTTTTTTGTTTGTTTGATTTTTAAATTAAAGATAAAATATTAAAGATTCTGTAACACAAATTTTTTATGGTTTCATTTCATAAATATGATGCTCAAATTAAGATTTGTCAATATTGTAAGTTCCAATAAGCATTATTTATAAAGATATTACCCAATTTAACATTTCATGTAAATAAAGGGAGGTAATTAGAAATTTATTTTCTATAAATTCTAAGTCAAATTTTCCAATAAGAAATGAATGCATGTAATTAATTGATTAAATATTATGTGCACAAATATTTGCAGTACACATTTTAAATATTCTTCGATGTTTGAAAATTGTTTTACTTGCATAATTATATATATATATTTGCAAGTATGGTATACACACAGTGACAATATCAATCACAAAACATACAGGATCTTTAAGGTCGTAGTGCAAAATGGTTATATCTTAAGATTTAAGTTTTATTGAATTACATATCCCAGCTTGCATGTTTACAATACAAAAACATGAGAGACAGTGCAAAAAAGTTGTATCTTACGACTGAGAATGCAGTGCAACACAGCTGTATCTATTCTATTTTATTTGCTTTACATTTTGTCTAAAATATCATTGACTTCTTCTTAATAAAACAATAGAAACATGGAAATTTCACTTACATTTGTATAGCAATTAATGGGGAAACAACAGAATTTTCAACACTGAAATCATTACATTATTAAACACTCACAATTTTGTATAAGCCATGATCTTATTTTGTTAATTCTTTACCCTAAGTATAGACTTTGACTTTTCATTCTGACACTTTCAATTTGTAACTATGAAGGGGACTCCACTGAGGTCACTTAACATGATGGGACTGGAAATATTTTTTTTTTGAGATTCATTAACAATTTGATATATGTCTGAACTGATTACTTAATGTGCAAAATATCATAACACAAGCTCAATTTTTTCCAAAAGAATTATTATAACTGTACTAAATAACCAAAAAATGATAAGTGTCGTAGAAATTCATTTTCAATTTAATTCTTATTATATTTCTTTATGTCTTTTGCATATTTGCTTTAAAGAACCAAGTTCAGTGGAACTCCTTTAATAATTAAAGGGAATTCACTGAGGTTTATTGAAATGGCAGGACTGGAAATAATTTTAAGAGATAAATGTTGATTGATGTAGGTCTAGACTGCAAAATTTCAAATCATTTGATAACTCTTTTTTCCAGAATTAATATTCAATTTATTAAAAATGACCCCAAATAGCTTTTTACCAGAATCTGGCTAATAACGGCACAAAAGTACAATTTATTTCAAGGTATATTTCTTAACCATCTTTGCATATCTCCCTGTTTTATGTGCCCCAGTTCATTAATGTAAGAAATTAAAATTTTATGTTTTTAGGCTTTCAGACCTCAGTGGTGTCCCTTTAATGACTTTTTGATACGGATTCCCTTGTTAAATTTCAAACCTCACATATGGGGTTTATTAGTAGTAGTTGTAAATTAAGGTTACTTGTAAACGTAATGTCAACAAAACTTACCATATCTACAGTAAGAGTATCCGTTCCAAGGTTCTGTAAGACAATTGGTCCGCTGAACGACCTTGTAATTGATAATCGACTCGCTTGACCCTCGTTAAAATTGTTGACGTGTTTAGTACTTGTGACATACATCTCATGTTTTACTTGTAGCTTGCGAATTTCTTTCCTACCTAGACCTCTGATTGAGAACCCAGTCTGTAAAACAATCACGACAATAAAATATTCATACTTCAGCAGTGCACGTTCAAAATAAATGCTAATTTCTAATCACTAGAATGCTTAACAAGAGCTGCCACCTTCCGGGGGCAACGCTCGATTTTTTAAATCTATTTCTTAAAGCAAAAAAATTAAGGGTTTAAACAAATCTTTACAATTATTTAGGAAATTAAAGGTTTTTCCTTTTTTAAATTTTAATAGGTCTGTCTTGTCACACTTCATGTTTTGTCCAAGTATGAATCTTTTCATAAAAAAATGACAAAATGAAGAATATAATCAAAATTCAATAATTTGACAGTCAAGGTTATTTAAAGGTGAAGTTCATATCTAAATTATGACTGTAACAATACCTCTATATTTTTCCTCAAACAAAGTCAAGCTAAAAAGTACTATAAATATTATTTGAACAAACTGGAAATGGCTTAAGTCCTTCTAAATATAATAGGAATTAACCACTAAGTTAACAAAATGTACATTTTCAAATTTATAATTATATTTAAACTAGGAATAAGTTATGTCAAGGTAAGGTTTCAAGAGGATCAAAATATAGCCTTTCATTGAACTGCGCTTCTTTCATTAAAATTACATTCATATCAGTTCTGATGTTGTTTTTGTACGCTACAAGTGAAGATATATTCAACAGAAGCCCGGGTGCTGCTCTGTGTATTATAACACCTAAGTAGAATCCCTGACCTTCCTTCAGATAGTTATAACTGAGATTATATTTTGATATTTTGCCACATTTTTGCCTTCACCAGTTCCCCTAGTTACATGTAAAGCTTATTAAGACAAGGCAAGTCCATGGACAGCACATTCCACTTTTTCTCAGTCTTGGGTAGTTAAATATATGCAGGATAGAGGCATAACTATGCAAAAAATAATTTTAGGATCATCTGCCCACTTGAGATGGCGTCCTTTTATGACAATAAACATGAATACCAAGTTTAAAGTGAATAGCTTTTATAGTTTTTAAGAAAATATACCTTGACAAAAGGTTAACCTATGCCAAAGCCAATGCTTACTAGAAGGTCATGACAATAGCTCCATTTTTATTCTTAGAAAAGTGGAGCTAATAACTCAATATTACTTATAAGCCAACTAACCTTTAAAAGTTTATCAACACCGACTGGCACTTCACGACAGAACTGCCGCAGAGCTGACAAAATATTGCCCGTACTGTTGTCTTTCTTTGGCGATTTTTTGACTAAATGAAGTAAATAAACATTTGAAACAATAACATTTATCATAAATGTATATCATGTAGAGCTGATATTAAGTACTAAAACTGAGATTTCATTTATTTTATTTCTATATCAGTTACATCTAATGTGCATTAAGCCACAGGATGAATAAATTTTTATTTTCTCTAGAAGAGGACAACATGTGATTAATGTAGTAATAATGGATATATAACTTTTAAAATGCTTGCTACCTGCAGAAAGTAGCACTGATTGTGAAACAATTTGAGATAAAGGTTGCAATGTTAACAAATTTTTAATGCATTTTTTTATATTTTTTGTGTTTATTTTTTGTTTGTATCTTACGCCATACAAACACAGTATATGTCATATGGTGACTTTCTAGCTTTACTCCATGCATTATTTCAGACACAAGCAGGCACCTCCATAGAACCACCAACATTCTGTAAGCTAGCTGGACAGCTTCCTCGCATTAAATATTCCGAAGTCCCTGGTGGGATTCGAAACCACAGCGGTGCGGGGCAAGTGTTAAACAAAGTGGTATTCTGACATCCATACCAAACACTTAATCAAACAACTAAACTGAATTGCAAAAAAACATAAAAATGACAACTAAGCTAACTGGCCAATGAGTCACTTTTGGAAACTATAACAGAATATCAAATTTAAAAAGATTTAGAAAGTACAAAATATTTGCATTTTAATATTTAAGTACTGAACTCAAGGATGAGGGGCAAGTGATTGTGATAAGATATTATATATTATACTGTCAGATGAATGTCACTAAAATACATACTATTGGTCTTTGCAAACAGTGTGAGTATTGCCAAGGCAACCCGATAAAACACCTTGATACCTTCATTAAGGTAGCAGTCCATAATCCGTACCTGAAATAAGAAAACACTATTTAATGTTACTTTATTTCATAATTCCATAAGATGTGGTTGATAAGGAACATATATTTGAGTTTCAAGTTGATACCTTAAGAAATGAAAAGTTATAGTGAAAAATATTTTACTGCACCAAAACTTAAATGTGAAATCTGACGCAGACGCCGGGACGAGTAGGACAGCTCTCCATATACTTCGTATAGTGGAGCTTAAAACACCTTAATATTGGCACACCAACCTTTTACATCACAATTACAATACATGTATTGTATAGTACGTATACTACCATATTAGCATGTATAAAAGCAATTACTATTAAGAACTACCAACATCTCCGCTAAAAATACAGAAATGCAACAAGTTTTTGGTCTTTTAATATCAAAAACTACAGGGGGTTGCTAACAGTAGGAGAAAAACACATATAATATTTTTTTTTTTGAAAAAGGACCAAAGTCTGACCCCAGAAGTGGCCTAAAAAACAGATTAATACTAAAATAAACTTAGGACAAAATTACCAAGTATGAGAAAGGGAGATCTTCAAATATCCACCAGATCCATGTGTCAAATACCTGGTCCACATTACCACAATTTCGTACCACCAGCACATAACCAGATTTCTGAAGAAAAAAAGACAGAATTGCAAGTTAATGTACAGCAAATATAAAGTGGCGACATGGCTGAGTGGTTCATGTTTGGACTAGTTATTTCAGGATGGATAGCCGTGTTGGTTCAAACCCTGTCAGGGGCAAGGCGTTGCTTTCTTGAGCAAGAAATTTACACTTTTTGATCAGTTACTGGGTGGTTCCAGGAACATATTTGAGACAGTGTCTTATACTTCCTACACAATCATTTACTAAAATAAATTCTGTATAAACTAAATAAAAATGTTTGACTATCAGTTAATGCTATTTATAATGCTTGGCATTCACAAGTTGGCTATAAGCATAATTAATGACTTACAGTTTTCTTGATTGGGCTCACTGACCAAGAATCATTCTCAAAAGGGCAAGAGAAGAAGAAAGAAACTAAACTGTACATGTACAAGCACAAGTTGTTGAAGAACAAATAACATACATTTACTAAAAAAACAAACAGCAATTATTAGTATACATACGGCATATTTTTTGGCAAGATCTCGGATGACTAGTTTAGAGGCTTCCACCGATACTTTGGTCGTTGGTAAGAATCCGCTTTCTTTGTTACGCAGCAATGAATATAGACAGTTATAACACTGGGATACGTCCATGTAATGCAGGAACAAACTAAGTACAGAGAACAGAATCGGACTGTATATAATATCAGGACACGAGTGTTCCAGTACACACAGTATTTGTTTGGCACTGTGAATGCCATCCTGCGACAAGTGATAGTAGTTCAAGTGATCAACGTCCACAAACGCTGGAACCCTAATATCTGATGCATCTCCTAAAAATACGGAAAAAGAATTATTAGAATTTCGTATTTTCTTATTCACACATCTATAGAAATATATTTTTTATATTATAAGCCTTTAAAGCTGCATGTCCTCCAGATGGGCCCAAAATATATCAAGAAAATCAAAACTTCAGAAAAATGTACTAAGATTTTAAGAAAAGTAAAATGATAAAAGATTCAAGTAATGATTTATTAGACAATAAGTCTATAGTAACAAATGCAGTTAGGGCTATTTTGCATATTTTGACCTCTCTATGAATTTATGTTGATTTCGTGTTTGCAATTACTTTCTTATTTCACTTGACTATGTACACAATATTTTACTTTTAAACACATTTTTTAAAATTTCATGAGAATAAGTGTCATTCTGGAGGTATGCTGATTTAAACACAAAATTGAGCCATGCCATGACAAAGCCAACATAATGGGTTTGTGACCAACATGGATCCAGACCAGCCTGCACATGTGCGCAGTCTGATCAGGATCCATGTTTCTCTACTTGTTATACCGTTTGTACATGTAAGCGAACAGCACGAATCCTGATCAGACTGCGCGGATGAGCAGGCTGGTCTGGATCCATGCTGGTCGCAAACGCACTATTTTGGTTTTGTTGTGACGCGGCTCAAATGATCTTTATGGATTGTAGTTTTATCTAAAATATCTTTTAAACATATACATTTATATGTAGATCTTAATTATAGCTTTATTATAAACTGCTCCTAATAACATTACTAAACACATTCAATTAATTAATTCAATCTTATAAATATCAACTAAGCAGCAATTTTCTTTCAGTCAAAGTATATTTCATGCAACAATAATTCATTCGAATACTCATTAAAAAATAATAAAGGCGGTACATTCACTATGACTCATGTTTCTTTGAAAAAAAACACAAAAAACATTCTGCAGAACTTGACTGTCAAAACTCTAATGCAGGGCTGCAGATAGCATGCGTATTTGCGTTATTACCCAATTAAAATGTCTAAAAACCCAATAGAAATAATAACTAAGGGTAAGAAAAAGTAAATGAATTCTTATTTATACAAACTACATTTGAACTGGTGCGTAATGACGAAAATTATTACTTAACGCGTACATCAGGCAGATCATACTGTTTCAACATGTTTTAACCTTTAATTTCTAAAGGCTACTTGGAAATCTCCTAGGCCAATAAACCATAAAGCAAAGTAGTAAGTAGCTTTTAATAACTGTACAAAACCTACAAATGTCTACAATGAAGGTCAAAAATGTTGGGTAAAATGCATGAACTTGTACTTTATAACCCAAATTGGTTAGAGGGGGTAGGGTAAAAAATACAGGAAGAACTCAAAGAAAATAGAAAAACCCAATAGATCACAAAATAAGGGGTAATTACCCAATATACACAAAATGTTATCTGTAGCCCTGCTAATGTTACTACAGTAACAGAATGTATTTTGAATGTGGCAAAGACCTTGTCCTTATTTCATGGAAAATATGATTGTCTTTGCAAGCCATTATCTTAAGTTATTTTTATAACTCATAACTTTTCAATAAGTGATTCATACAGAAGGGTTAAAATAAGAAATGCCTTGATTAAGTTAACATACATGCAAGTCTTTACAACTAACAAAATAACTAATTATAGTTACCTGGTGAGAACAAATCCTCTGCAAATTCACTAAAAATATCATGATCATCGGCTTTGTGTAGGTAGTGACAAATATTAAACCATAAAGAATGTCTGATGTTATGTTTAATATCCCAGCTACCATTCCGTAATACAGCTTTATATTGCTTTTTCTGATGCCTCTTCAAGTATTGCAACAGCAGTTCTGCACTTATCTCTACAACTTCTTCAACACTGTGTTTAACCTTTATATCTCCAATCACAGACCTCATGTCAACAAATTCACTAAACACTTCAACAGTCTCATCTTCGACTTCCATATCAAACTTCACTTTCCCAGCATTTACAGATGCCATATCTACCACATCAGACTCATTCACCTCTACAAACCCTAATTCTTCCAGATTAATCTCAGACTTCTCCTTATTTTCAATAGTATCACCACTAATCTCTACTTCTGTAATATCCTTTGCACAAGATTTTTGAGTTTTTTCTTCACTCCCACTTATATCATGTTCACTTTGTGAATCATCAATGTTTTCTATTTGTTCAATATGTTTTCCAATACTTCCTGTATGCCCGGTCTCAGCATCGGTTACATGTGTTTCCTCAATCAATGAATCTGATCTATTTACTGACGGTGAAGGTGACTCACTGTCAGGTTTATCTGCCATATTGAATGCTTCTTTCTTCTCATTTCTTGTTTCTAGAGATGATTTTTTCTTCTTCGTACTTTTACTTGATACACAATTCAATGAATTCATCCCTGAAAAGCCTCCATTAGTCCTAAAAACAGAAAAAAGTACATTTGTAACTAATAAGTATGAAAAAAAAATCATAAACATGTACAGTAAGTTTTTTCATCAAATAAAAACACCCACCAAACCTTTTATTTATTTTACAAAGATTGTCACATATTCAGTGTTTTAAATATAAAGAGTAAAGTGGGGTGTGTCGACTCATTATGAGATGATTCATCAGTGGAGTGAATTGTTATCAATTCTTCTATATCATAGTACATGAGATAAATTATGAATCAGTCAATAGCAACAATAAACAAAGTATTAAGTACACATGAATGTCAAATAAGTTAATACACAATTTGATGCAATTAGAGTAATTTATAGGCATTTGTTTACCTACTGTTGTCTAATTAATTAGACATGTCAAAAAGTCTATCTTCACACAATAGTTTAACTGACTGTTGATCGAGAGTTTGGCTAGTTATTTCATCACAATTTACCAACTGCATAGCTTTTATTAGTATATGCATGAAATATTTTAGCACAGTCAATGCGAAAGTCAAAATTTTTTTCCGGCCACAAGGACTGGGATCCTTAGATTTATTTCCGGCCCTGATGATTTTTTCCCGGCCCGGACTCTGAAAGGTATTTTTTTGTAGGGGTGGGGATAATTATAAACAAAAATATTTAGAAAATATGAATTATCAGACTTAACTATCAGATACTATGAAAAAAATATACAAAAACATAATACATGTATATAAAGTTTAGTTTAGTTTAATTCACAAGAAAACGATACATCTTTCAAAGGTTGGAGACAAAATATGTTTTTGTCCAAGACAAGATGGTGGCCTACATTACTTAGCAAAACTGGTTGTATCTTGCGGTGATTTTGGTTATCTGGGTCTATGAATACAAGCAAAAATGAAAAAAAAGAAGATTGATCTTGGAAGTTTGCATATTTCAGAAGGCCAAAAATTTTCAAACTGGCTGAAATTTTATTCGGACATGAGGACTGACTGTATAGAAATTTATCTCAGCCCTCCTGATTTTTAGTTGGCGAGGTCCGAGGACCGACAGACTTTCGCACAGACTGTTAGCAGATTTCAAAATGTCAAAATACAATTATCACAAAGGCCCTTTGAAAGGGTACAAGCATAAGCATGTTTTAAATGAATTACGGACAGGACGGACTGTACCAGGGCGGACCGTGTGTTTGGACAGGGCGGACTGTATTTTGGAACAGGGAGGACAGTGACTAAAGACAAGGCGGACTGCCCTTTAATGAAATAAAAATATTTAAATATTAATGTTTCTTTGCTTTTGTGTGTGTAATTATCCGTCAGAATGTATCTGTAACTTTCAATTTATAAAAAGAGTGGGGGCAGTCTTTTTATATATTTAGGTTTATTTTTTTACCCTAAACATTTTCAAATATCATGGGTTGGTCATTCAGCATTACAACAACCAGTTTATTGAAATATAAAGTGACTTAAATTCAATTTGGCACAATGTAGTCACAGATTTCTGTCTTCCAGATGATATAAGTCAGATGCTGTTAAGTCATGGTTCTGGTTAGAAAGAGCACGAGGAATTTTAGGGGAAATATTAGAATTTTTAGGGGAAAATATACCTATTTTGGGCTAGGGGAAACAGCCTTTATTCGGCTGTAAAATACATGGAAAAAAATCACTGAATAGTATGTTTAAAAATATTACAATAAAGAAAATTGTTTAAAGTTTAGAAGCATTTATTTAAGCAAATTACGGATTTATAAATCCGTGCGCAAATAGATAATAATGTCTTACATATGAGATTTTTTCAATCCATTCCCATTAGCTTAAGCTACCTATTTCATAATTGTATGGGTCAATGTTTATTATAATGAATATAAAGTTAGATTAATCCACATGCCATGTGGACATGATAAATTCATATATATTTAACTAATACTAGATCGATGTTTTTAAAATTCTTTAATACAAATCTGTTCAATATCAAATCCTTAAATATACAACATGTTTATGATGAAAATGATACCAAAATATAATAAATAATGAAAAAGCAATATTAAGTTTGAAAATATGCATGGTCCGCCTCATCTCAATCCGCCCTGTCTCAAAATATGCTCCTTCCCGTCCAAACATATGGTGCACCCTGGTACGGTCCGCCCTGTCCTAGGACAAATTTAAATATTCTAGATATAATGCATATTCTTATAGTCTAAATTTTGCACACATAATACATTTTCAATGTTTAAAGTTTGAATTCAACTTATTTCAAAGGTCCCTTAAATACCTTTTTTATTACAAGTTTATAAAATCTTACCCACAGACACTTGGAGTATAGACCCCGCCCTTCTCCACCCCTAAATATAAAAAACTAAAAGTATTTTATTTATTACAAGAATTAATTTTGAAATTTTTGCTTATATCAGTATGAGATTTTAAGTGTCTAACACATGAACAACTTTGAAAAGAATTTCATAACGTTTTAAAAAAGTAAAATTTTTACCAACTACAATTTCCTGAAGATACCAAGCTTCGAAATGTAAACACAAAGTTCTGACCTACATATATTTCAAGTATTTATGTTATCGCATGCAATTCATTTCTGGTGTAAATCAGTTGATGAATTTATTCTTTTAATCAGTGTTTTTTTTCTTTATATAACTACTACCCTAAAACGGTACCATTACCAATAGAAAATAGACATTAAAATTCCCAATTTCCAATGTTAAATTCCCAAAATGACTGTTCAAATTGCCCACAAGGCAAAGTGATTTTTCTAAAATCATTTAAATCCAACATATTCATATAAATCACCACTCAATAGTTCTATCTAGACAGTAGAAGCTGTTAGCTATCTTTATTCATGATGTCTAATCTTCTTTGTAGCTGAAAAAATGCATTAAAAAAGTTCCCAATTTTAGTCAAAATAACGCATTTTTTCCCAATCAGTCTGGTACCGGCACCATTCCCAAAGTAGAGAAAAAAAACTGGAATCTTTCCCGTAAATTACAGCAGAAAAATCGCTGGGAAAAAGAACTTAAATCGCAACTACTCGGCCCTTTCAGTCAGACTTCTTGATTTGGTTTTTGTACTGATTAGGAGAAGTAACCGCAGTGTACGAAATTAGCAGTAGTCTTATAGCCCCTGACTACTAAATTTCTCCTCGGGCTACCAACTTTTCACAGTAACAAGCCCGACCAGGCTACTGTATTTTCAAAGGCAATATAAAAAACTGTTTTGAACAAATGAATCGTGCTAGTGAAATGTCTTTTGGGCTAGTGAATATTCCAATCTGGTAGTCCGACCAGCCTAGTCGATTCAAATCCTAATTTCTTACACTGTAACCGCTGCAGGGATTTTGGTTCTCGGCATAAATGAAAGCGCAAAACAGTGCCGAAACTCATTCCAGTCCTCTCACATCAAAGTTTGAATCAAAGAAAAGCGTACGTTGTTATCTTTATGAAATCATGATATTTCAGGGACTTTTTTAAACATTGTTAAAATAGCGGAAAACAAAATTTATGTTTAAGACATGTGACCAGGTCGTGATAATATGCAAAAATATTTAGACATACGGTTTGCACAATAAAAATAGACATGGTGTACATATAAGTGCGGATCAAGAAGGGGAGCCACGCACATAACCCAAAGTGTCTTGAACCTAAACTAGGCTCTACCATAGGCACTTGGTTTCGGGATAAAATAACCCTTGAGAGGTTTGTAGAACTCAAATATAATTGAATGTTACAATTTTTTTAACGTAGATGTTTGAGTTCAGGGTTATTTTATCCAAAGTGCCTATGGGCTCTTCTGTAATCTAAATGATTAAAATGAACAGCATAATTTTTGTGGGAACCATCTGACAGTAGCGACAATCTCATTGTTAGTATTTCTATTACCTTGTGTAAGCAGCTAATTATAAATTAACTGAAAATTGTAATGTAAAATTGAGATTTTTTTCATATGGAAAACTTGTTCCGGTTAGGTGGTTTCCTGCTTACATCTGTTGGTGCATGGTTGAACGGGGAACCAGCCGCAATCGTGCCAATCGCAACTTTTCGGCCTTTTCCGTCACTCTTCGGATTAATGATAATAGCCGATGTAGTTCCGATTGCAATCATGACAATTCGGGCGATTCCGTCATACTGCGGAATCAGACGAAGTAATATTACGGAAATCTAAGCTATTTTAGTTACTTCGGTAATCCCAGTTTGTTTATATAAATAGGATTTCTATTTTTACTTGATTTATCGGTTTAAACCGTAATGAATTATAAACGAAATTGTTCCGTTTCAATTGTTTTTCAAGAGGCAAAAGTTAGTTTCTTTTATAATTGTTTTTTGTCTGTATTAGTTTTATACGCTGTAGTAGTATTTAGTCTTCAAAGGGTGGTCCTGCTTATCAAATCACGCATGATCGAGTTATATTTAGATCTACTGAACTTCTTGGTGAGGTAATCTAAAAATAGCCCATGCATATCACGTGCTGATCCAAACTCCTCGCAGCGGTTACTTCCCCTAGTCTGTACAGTTAAAGTAGCAAAGCGTGACGTAAGAGCTGTGAGGAGTTTGGTGCTGATATCGTCTATTTGTGATCGTGTAACATAGTTGATACATGCTTATTAATTGATACCACGTAAGTGCATTTACTTGTCTATAAAGCAAAGGAACGATTTCGCTGCGAAAAAGGGGAAATGAAATGTGCACACTTGTTTTCCTTCAGTATCACGTTAGTATTTTTACGATTGATCATTTTCTTTATTTATCTAGTTTTATACAATAGAGAATAGATTTCAAATCGTTTTGACAAAAAATATTCGGTTTTCCAAAAAAACAAACTAAATAAACCCTTTATGATATACAAATACCGTAATTAAAAAAAAATGTGATAATAAATTGAAACCAAAAAAACACACAATTTTAAAGGGTTGGGATGAAGGCACAACTGTGCAAGCCTTTCCTTTTAAAAGGAAACTTTATTATTTGTTGTTTTTTGGTTCTAGACCGGAAGTTACAGACCCATATATGACTAAATACCGTCTGTTTACCGTTCCAATAATACGAATAACCGAAAGATACATAAAAACGGAAAGATACCAAATCAAATCAAATCAAATCAAAATTTATTTATTGTCGGTATATATATAACATTTTACAAAACATAAGCTATGTATAGCTTTTGACCGACATACATGCATAATAATATAAACATAAAACTCATAAAAGAAGCACATTAAGATATTAAACTTTGAAAGACAAATGGTAAAAGATAAGTTAAATTACTATAATATGGGATGTAGACATTAAATGTTATAATTCAAAATAAAATAATAATAATTAATAAATAGTAATGATATGCTAAGGATATGGTTAAAAGTTCTATACTGTATCATAAGTGAATAAAAAGATATATATCTAGATAAAATGCGGAATATATTAGCACATACATAAAATAAGATTACATTAAAAGTGGGTGGATACTGCTGATCTTGACCCAGGCCTAGCCTGGACTGCTATAAAAGAAAGGAAATACGATATTGAAAATAAAAAGGATCACAAAACTGTTACCACTAATTAGGTTTTATAAATAAAAATCCCCAATACAAAATTTGTAAGAAGTGATCAGCAGCCTCCTCAATAAGTAAACTTCGCAAAAAGCTGACAATAAGCAAACAAAAATTCAAGCATACTGGAAAAATAATACATGTACATAATCATTTATGTTGAGAATATTAACAAAATTTAAGCCAAATGTGAAATAAACAGATACATGTAAGTAAGCAGCAAAACAAAAGAAAGCAGGCAAGAAACAAAACTGAAGATGGAGCTAAACTATAATGCAGGATTATTGACAGAAAGTACATGAGCAACTCTCTCCATTCCATGCACCAATTAGACTTTTAAATTGGTCATAATTCACTTCCATTCTGAGGTGTTGAGGAAGTGAATTCCATAGTTTAGGTGCATAGGAACGAAAAGAGTTGCTGCCATAACTGGTGGTTCTTACCTGAGGGATAATGGCTACATTTTTATACCTAAAATTAAAAGAATGAGATTTTATATTAACAAGATACCGAAAATAAGTAAAGCTATTGAGGTGATTTGACTTTTATTGGAGATTTTTAGTATATATTTGCATCTTAAGTGAACTTTGTCGACTATAAATATTATAATTAGTATATTTTCAGAGTATATTATAATAGTGTACTCTATATTCTTTCTATTATAAATATAATGAATTGGCTGCCTTCCAAACAAATAAAATTTGGTCTTACTATTACACGCTTCGTTCATTCGCCAACTCTTTTTATGATTACTCTGTAAATCTTTTCTCTCTCTCCCCTATTGTATCTGCTGAAAGGAAAGAAATATTTTACAATGCTTGTAAACGTATTTTACCTTGCTTTGATTATTGTTGTATTATATGGAGTACTTATAACACTACGTACTGAATTTGAAAATGAAAAAAAGTAAAAAAAATACCGTATAAGTCCAATTTTTTATGCGGTATTTTTTTTTAAAGATTAAATTGTTTCATTTTTTTTGTATATTCTTGAAGTTTGAAATCTTAACTTTCATTCTTTATACAGAAATTGAGAATTGAATCATAAATAAAGAAATTAAAGGGGCAGCGTGTTTCTCTCTCCGGATTTTACAGTGCGTTTTTGTTTTGAAAAAAATGGTAAACTTTGAAAGGACAGAAGTAACATTTTTACTCAATTTATTTTACTTATAAAGATATCTCTAGAAAGCTCATTAAGTAATCTTTAATTTGATACCAAAATCATTTAAATTGATTAAGAAATAAAGAAGTAATTAAGTAGGGGGCGCCGTGTTTTAATGAGAAAAAATGGGGAAGCGCCGGGTTTTATACTTGTCCTGTTGAAGGCATCTGTCTGTCGATTTAAATGTTTGTTGTTTATATCTTTTTATATGCGTGTACATATTTGTGGATTCTTTACCTTGTTTAATTGAAGGTCATATTCCAAACTAGACATGTAATTCTCGATGTGTTACCTTCATGAAATAAAGCGTTTATTATTATTAATATTACTAATAATAACACATGTCTTACACTTACCAAGACAATTATATATTACATTATACATATAAAACATTATATATACATATGTATATGCATTTACATATAACTAGAATCATGTGGCTTAGACCAGCCACCCAAATTAAGCACAACGGCCCTACAATATTCCTATTAATCGAACGAGTACCCCCATACCCTACAATAATTATTATTGACAGTTTCGAATATAAACGGAGTTCAGAAACTATTCTGAGTCTACCTTAATCTTTGATCCCTAGGTATTGGTAGTCCCTAAATCGTGTAATGAGATTTATAATCATAAAGTATCCCCGTAAAAACGACTTCATAAATACATTGTACCTGCCTGTCAGCCTATCTTCATTTATCAATTAACTTTTCAATATTAGACACGCTTTCACTTCAAATGTAGGCTAATATGAAGTTTACCACGACATTATGAACATAAAACAAGGCTATTTATGCAAAAAGTACGGCCTTTACGAGAAAAGTCGGGTTTTATGATATTGATTGGCTCTCCAACTCGGTCATTATGAATCTGCTTTTGTTTTGCGTTATCATTGAAAAAGTCGCCATTTCGAATTGCTGCAAGGTAGGTTTCTGAGACTTTTTTAAATCAAGAATCTCATTTGAATACCTCACAACAACGCAATTTTACATTACTTAATTTTTTTGTCACTAAGTACTTACCTTTTTTTAAGATTATGTGTAGTTAATTAATACAATTGTCAATAATTAAGTGTTTTCATAATGGCCTTGTTATTGGGCTTTAGACTGTCATAGTAACCTTCGGCCTTTCATGCAATTATGACAGGCATCAGCCCAATAACACTTAATTATATTGGCATTATAATACTAGCTGTAGCTCTCCAAACCTTCGCAAGGTAGGCTTCGTAGCGAAGAGTAATGCAGCAAAAACGAAGGTCTGATTTTAACGAGATAGCCTACATGCCTGCCTACATACCTACATACCAACATTCAAAAAGATTATAATAAGAAATATGTAATAGTAATATCTGAAATATTACTTCTTTTTCTATATTCATTCCATTTTTTCTTTGAAAATCATGAACTTTAAAAAAGATGCTAGTTCAAATTAAAAGGTGCGCAAATGTTCATTTTTATTCAATTATTTTTCTGACCAATTCTGTATATTTTGGAAAAAATATCGGGTTGCGTACTACAAGCACGTTTCAGTTGTTTCATTCAAAGTGACTTGGTACATAATGGAAGGACTGTAATACGATGATTAATTAGATATGTTGATAGTATATAGCATTATACACAATAGCAAATCACAAGAGAACTGTATTTGAACGTTGCTCGTTAAGGTCAGACTACTGTATCATTTTTCCCCATAGACTTACATTATAAGAAATGACCACTTATTGAGTATTCATGATAAATATGTGATTTTTCCAGAAAAAAAATATTTACGTCTTTTACAGACTGCATATCAGACTGGTGTCCCCCTAGTTTTACACGTGCCAAATATATCGAGAACTCAAATATGAAATGAATCATTTCGGCGTATTTTATGTTTATGATGACGTAATTTTGCCTGAAAAACTCGTTACCGACTACTGAAAACGCTTGTATGGTATAAAAAGTTTGCGTACGACAATAAAACTTACTGCTCTAAAACGGTCAGATTACTGCGATTGGCTGCATAAAGTGAGAGAAAAACGTAAGATTCAATGGTACATCAGATGATTGGATGGCAAAGTAATGATTTAAAGTATGAACATTATTGTACAAACTAACACTGCATTGTTTTCTTAAGAAAATGAACTGTTTAATAAGTGTCTTGGTTAATTTCTCATATCGATATTTGCATTTTTAAAAAAAGTATGTTGTACTGTATATGTCACTCCTGTAATCAGCAGAAAA